AGCTAAAACAGAGAGCATCTACTGGTGGACAGCATTAAGGCCCAAGATAAGATAAATAAGGATTATTGTGAACTGTAAATCACACAAAGCTCCTTTAGTAGAGTCCAAGAATAGAACAGGCCCACAACTAATGGAGCAAATTGCAAATTTCTCATATTTTTTCTTGAAAAAGAATCTGCAAACTGAAATGTGAAATTAGGTTTTAGTGTCAGAGCAGCAGAAGACGTGTTACTGGAACTGCTTTTTGCACTCACCTGCATCACTCGCAGCATCAGCACCTGTGCTTGACTATATCAGGCACTGAGTATATATATATTTAAAGGTTGGATGCTTTAAGACGGTGTGTATATCATGAGGTTGTTTCTCGACAGCTTCTCTTCGTAATTCCCTCTGTGCTGTTTTTAAAAAGCCATTACATCATGAGTGATGGAACAGAATGAAGACGAATGAAGGCGATGTTCAAATGAAGACGCCACGACTCTTAAAATGAGGCGGCAGCTGAATGATTCCCTCAGACGACGCCTTAAACGGCGTCGCAGCTCGATATCAGTAAATGAGCCGTTATAATTCACTTTTCTGACGAATCCTCACTCTCAATCGGTCGGTCACCCCGACAGCGTTAATTCCCGTTTCCATTGCGTCAACACTGTGTACTTCCTGGCACACACTCACCGGTGGAGCAGGGCCCGTCGGACACCCGGGAGATGAGTCTCTGCTGTTTGCAGGACGCCTGTCGCCTGTAGCACTCGTTCTGGTAGGTGTCTCCGTTTGAGCCGCACACAGGGACGTAGTTTTTGTGACACTGGAAATCAAACACAATCAGATGTTAATTAAGCTTCAGTGTGACGAACCATAGGGAGAGGGGGTCGCTTCACTCAGGGGGAAGGGGAGGAGTCAAAAACATGTAGATTGACTCTACTATGCAAAAGTATTAATTACATCAGCTATATACATTACAGGAATTATTGTTGGTTACAATAATAATAATGATCAACAAGGTCTAGTTCTACATTTTGGTTTTATTTTATTTTAGTTTGGGTCAAGTTTTTATTGTTAACCCTTTAAGACCTACCATAGAACCAAGTCCGCCAGAGCTTATATTATAT